CAGAGAACAGGTTAGTACGTCCGACCTCTCCCTTGTGTAATCACCTCCAATCAATTCTCTGTGGCTATTAGCTTGGGATCCCTGCACATCCCAGTACCACAATCTGACAAACTCACAGCAGTGGCGACCGGGACGATGATGGAGGTAACCAATGTCGCTGATGAGCTCCTTGAGCACGAAATCCTCACGGATAGAACCAAGAACGAGCGTGGATGATCTTAAGGATCATGACCTTCAGGATCATGGTCACAAGGATTACCAAGGGCGAACTCAAGGGTGAACTCAAGGGTAACTCGAGGAGGAACTCAAGGGTGAACTTGAGGGCACTCAAGTCCACCCTTGAGTTCACCGTTGAGTCCACCGTTGAGTCCACCATTGAGTTCACCGTTGAGCTCACCCTTGAGTCACCCTTGAGTTACTCAAGAGTAACTCAAGGGGAGCTCAAGGGCGAGCTCAAGGGTGACCTCAAGGGTAAGTCAAGGGGCCACTCAAGGGTGACCTTGAGGGTGATCTCAGGAATGCTGAGGGAAAACTCACTCAAGGACGAACTCAAGGACACAAGGACGAACTCAAGGGATAACTTGAGTACGAACTCAAGGAAAGGGGGAACTCCAGGATGGACTGGAGCATGACAACGAGGATGAACTGGAGGGTGAAGTCAAAAGGGTGAACTCATGTCGCTACAGAAGTCGACTGCCATCGTCGGAAAACTTATCTCACCGTCACATTGCTAGTTAAGCCATCCTTCCATTCGGAATTTTCGACTGAATCTGTGACCGCAACCAGGGTCAGATGCATACATCCTCAAAACTCCCAGTGTGCCAGTGTGTATGCCCTTCGTTCCCCTGCCATCACCCTCGAGCTACATACAGCTAACAGACAAAATACAAACTTGACGTTAAGTTTTTGGGTGGCAAAACAAATTCTACTAAGGGATTCCTGGAAGGATGCAACGACGGCGACCTGGCCGACACATTTCACGATGGTTTGAGAAAACAGTTGGTGTTATATGCCAATTTATGTAACACCAAGCAAATAAATACACACGTGGGCCCAAAGGAAACACACGCGAACCCAGGGAAAAACACGTGGGCCCGGTGAAATACACGTGGGCCCAGGGGAGTACACGTAAGCCCAGAGAAACACATATAGGCCCAGGGAAATACATGTTGGCCCAGGGAAATACACGTGGGCCCAGGGAAACACACGTGGGCCAAGGGAAATAGATGTGGGCCCAGGGAAATACACGTGGGCCCAGGGAAAGATCGAAGGAACTCAGAAAAGGCGAAGAAGATACAGGCTAGATTTGATCAGGGGACCTTTGGGAGGAGGAAAGATAGCAAGGATAGAAGGGCAAGGCTCAATTTTGTATGGTGGTTAACCTCGTTGCGCCAGAGGAAGCCATCAGAACAGGGGGCCACGAGTGTATGGGGGGGTATCAAGCTTGAGTATGAGAGCACTGTAGGGGAGAAGCAGGTGCCAAGGTAAAAGGAGGGGTAATTCATTGGAGAAAAAAGTCAAAAACCTAATTAAAAGAAGAAGAAGAAGAAAAAGAAGACGACGAAGAAGAAGAAGAAGAAGGAGAAGAAGAATCAATTGCGCACAAGTCCCTGCAGCCAGAAAAAAAAAAAAAAAAAAAAAAAAAAAAAAAAAAAAAAAAAAAAAAAAAAAAACAGAACGGATTTGGCACGCCTTTTACCAGTTGGATATGGGCAAGCTTAAACCCTCAGTACTTCTGAAAGTCGCGGCCGCATGCGGGCCGCGACGTGCAGGGATGAACCGGCCTGGGGCGCTGGAATAATTTATTCAAGTGGAAACATTGTGGCACTGTTGCAATGGCTGGCTGCATGTGCACCACGTCTTCCGGAAGTACTGGTGGTTTAAGAGAGAGAACAAAAAGGAGGGGTGAGCAGGGGAGTAAATCCTCCTGGACTAGAACAGCAATCAATGCCGTTGTCTCACGGTGGGTTCTCCGGGCCATAACGGGAGAAAGTGTTGCGTGGGTACAGAACCAGGTTTCCGCCAACAAAAAGGATTTCTGCTTGCTCAGGGACAACAACAACAACAAAAAAAAAAAAAAAAACACATGGGCCACTGGTGGAAACCTAGAAGCAGAGTCGGGTACTGAGCAGCACGCGCTGCACATCTCGGAACGCCAACAGAGAGCGAGGCATGCCTGCCTGTTCACCAGGGAAAAGTGAAAAAGAGTTTAAACTTTAAAGAACAAAAAAGAACTGAGTCAACTGACCTGAATGTCTGCAGACAGATCTCTGACATTATCTTCAGAAAGTTTGTCACCCTGCCACGTCACATTCATCCATATCCACAGGACGAATGAGAAAATTCCACGAAAAAGAAAAATAAAAAAAATAAAAAATCCATGAAGACACGAGAGCAGAGCAGCAGCAACAACCATTGTGTTGTAAAAACTTGTAATGCAAAATCTGTAATATAATATGAGCTGTTGAAGTACAGCACCCCCCCTTCTCTCTCTTTTTTTTGTGCCCCCCCCCCGCCCCACCCCCCCCCTTTTTTTATCATTGCACTCTTCAGTACATCTCTGGATACAGACAAATTGACAGAGAAAAATAACGGAGTGATCCCCGGATCGTGATGCTGACCACCCGGGTCTGATGTTCCGGTCCGGAGTGTCCGAATCCAGACCCCATCCAGGAAAATCTGAAAAAAAAGGGGGCCACTTGGGATGGTCGTTTGGCTCCCAGCCCCCCCCCCAAAAAAAAAAAACTGTCTCATGCACTTTCGGGGTCCAGTTTGATTTACCAAACCAACCGGACAAGTGCGCACAGTCTAAGGCGGGCGGGCGGGCGGGCAGGCGGGCAGATACAGAAAAAACCCTAGTGTTCCCAAATTTTGGGTAGGAGGGGATGGACGGATCGGGTGCCTGTGTTGTTGCCCACCATCGTCTCGTATCACCCGTCGCTGCCGCTCACCATTGCCAATCTGCCCAGCAAAGAAGAGGAAGAGGAGGACCTAGCACAAGTCGTCGACACTCATCATCCGGGAGCTCCGCGCTGTTGGGGGGAGGAGGAGGAGGAGACGGTGGTGGAATGGGGGGGACATACTAAAGGGCCTGTCTTTTTTTTTTTTTTTTTTTTGTGGGGGGGGGGGGGGGGGGGGGGGAGTGGAGGGAAATGCCCGTCTCTTATACACATCTAGATGTGTATAAGAGACA